ATACCTGTACTTCTACTTCTTACATGTTGAACCCAAATACCTGTACTTTCTACTTCTTACATGTTGAACACAAATACCTGTACTTTCTACTTCTTACATGTTGAACACAAATACCTGTACTTTCTACTCCTCACATTTTCCAAACAGGCTGGTTCCTTTAGTTTGAATGTGTGTTTGGTGGCGTGATCATTATTATTTAGAGTCATTGCGTGCCTATTGATTTGAACACGATCCGTGTATCCATCATTTCCTGGTCTTCTCTAAAGAAGAGGGACCAATGAAAACGTTGTCATGTTGCCGTTGTTCAGCATGGAAACATTCATTAGCTAACAATGACATTATTGTTCTATTAATATAAAGGGAGGTCAGGTACTCTTTAAAACAGCTGCTAGTTATGGGTACTTTTTACTGAAGTACATTTCAAAGCCCTCTTTACTTTGACTTGAGTAAAGAAGTTTAGTCAGTACTTCTACTTTCACCAGAGTATTTTTAAACACGAGTATCTGTACTTCTACTTGAGGAAAGGATGTGTGTACTTTTGCCATCTCTGGCCTAAAGGCACATTACTCACAGGGAAACATTTCTCACTCCCTGTTCTTTCTTTAAAGCTCACATACCAGCGCCTTCAGAGTCATGTGCTGCGTCTCTCAGCTCAGACCCATGACTGCAGCACATGATGAGCTCAGGGCTGATTACTGCCGGACTCACACCACCCGGTGCCTGCTGACAGCTCAGAGCACGTCCCAAACATCATGATGCTCCAAAAGATATACATTTACTTGATCCTAAACTCATTTGTATCACATTTAGTAAGGTAGAGGACTCCGAATTTTAAGATTTATGAAAAAAGTGAGAATTTTAAGAAAAAAAGTCAGAATTTCAAGAAAAAAATTCAGAAAATGAGAAATTACGAGTGTTTCAGGAAAATAAAATCAGGATCAGAAAAAAACTTCAGAATTATTAGTTTTTCAGAAAAAAGCCAGAATTATTCGTTTTTCAGAAAAAAGCCAGAATTTGAGAGATCAGAGCACACCCTAAACATCATGGTCCTCGAAAGGATATGTATTTGCTTTGTATTTGAGTTTTTCAGGAAAAAATCAGGATTTGAATTTTTTTTCAGAATTATTAGTTTTTCAGAAAAAAGCCAGAATTATGAAATTTTCAAAAACATCAGAATTATGGGATTTAAAAAAAAAGTCAAGAGTCATGACATTTTCTGGAAAAGTCAGAATTTGAGAGATCAGAGCACACCCTAAACATCATGCTCCTCAAAAAAAGGATATATAATTGCTTGATCCTAAACTAATTTGGGTCGTATAAGTAGAGGAGTCAGAATTTTAAGATTTATGTAAATATTCAGAATCTTATGAAAAAAAGTCAGAATTTAGAGATTTTCATATATTTTCCGAATTTTAAGATTTATGAAAAAAGTCAGAATTTTAAGAATAAAAGTCTGAATTGCGTGTTTCAGGAAAAAATCAGGATTAGGAACAAATGTCAGAATTATTAGTTTATCAGAAAAATATCATAATTATTAGTTTTTCATAAAAAAGTCAGAATTAATAGATTTTTAAAAAGCCGATTGAACGTTCACAGCTTTTTGAATAAAGTCTGGAGTTCTATCTGTGTGCTGCTGCCTTATATTATATCAAATATAACTTAGAATGTGCAATAAAGTCTTATCCCGTAAGTTTGAAACTCATTTGTATTCATATTGAGTAAGGTAGAAGTGTAGAAATGAAACATAGAATAAAATAAGTTATAATCAATTATACTGGTCATGTGCAATATACGTTTTTTCACAATTTATTATTGTTATTTTTGGCTTATATAATGTGGCTTCTTTGACTTTTATAAACATGTGCTTGCCTCTTTATTTAATATTAGCCTTTTTATCTGAAGTCCCTTTGCTATAAAAAAGCATGTGGCTCCGTCAATAGGGGCTCAAATATGGAGCGTGGACTGTTACATCAAATCTCACTGAATGACACAAATAAAGAGGGTTTTTAAACAACCTACGCTTTGTTAACACATCCACTAAATAGCAAGTTATTGGCTCGCTCTTAAATGTGTCTAAATGTGTCCATCGGGAAAAAATATCTCCAAAAACAAGTTGTGATATCATCCAGGATGTGAGTAATGCAGCCTTTTGGCCTCGGACACATCGAGCTCTCCTTCAGAGGGAAGAGTTGTGAAATCTCAACCTCCAGACATCGAGTATAATAAAATAAATCAATGCTGCGTCTGGCCTTCGTCTACTTTGTCTTTTGTGTCGACTGAAAGCCTTTTCGCCGGAGACACTTTTTCTGAAATGTTGTCATTACGTCAACGACCTGAAGGTGAAGTGAACACGGTGAAACTTTTTCTATCAAAGTGGCCAAGGACAATTTAAAGTTTGTGAAAAAGGCAATACAAATCCCTCTGAAATGTCACACTTTGGACCTGGAGCTAATGTTCAATATCCTGCAAATCCCTCAAAGGAAAAAGGAGTTCAAATGAAAGACTGGTCCAAACTCACGCTGTAATTCCCCCTGAGGAATTTATTAAGAAAGGAAGCATTCGGTTTAATTTGGAGATCCTAATCTGATAAAACCACGTCAGGAACACAGGGACGTTGTACTGGCAAGATTTCAATGACGTATGAGCGAAACAACGATCAAATAGGCGAGTTTTGACTCATTCTGGGGTCTGTTGGTTTATTTTTAATGTGGGTTACATTTAAGATAATTACATTACAGAATTCTGAGTTTTTCAGGAAGAAGTCATAAGAAATCAGAGCACATGCTAAACATCATGATATGTATTTGCTTGATCCTCAACTCATTTGGATCATACAGTATTTAGTAAGGAGAGGAGTCAAAACTAAACATGAAAAAGTCTGAATTTAGCGTTTTTCAAAAAATAGCAGAAATTTAAGGTGAGGATTTGAAAAAAATGTGTGAATTATTAGTTTTTCAGAAAAAAAGCCAGAATTATTAGTTTTTGAGAATAAAGTCAACATTTTGAGAAAGAAGTTTAAAAAAAATTGATATTCAGAAAAAGTCAGAATTTAGAGATTTTCAAAAAAAAGTCAGAATTTTAAGAAAAAACTACAGAATTTTAAGGAAAAAGTGAGGATTTGAAAGAAAAATTCAGAATTATTACTTTTTCTGAAAAAAGCCACAATTATTCGTTTTTGATAATTTACACATTGAGCAGTTACAGAAACACATTATGATTTATTTGGGGTTGTCCAATTTTAGCTCCGTTTTTTGGTCTCCACCACCAAATATCTGCATCTGTTTTTTAGTATTTGGGTGTTAGCTGTTTAACCCCAGGGTTCTCTGTGTCCTTGAGCAAAACACTGAACTTTAACTATTTCCAAGCAACATGTTTTAGTTCCCATACAATTAAAAACATTTGTTTTGTGTTGTAAATTAAAACGAAAGCTTATAAGAACTACTTGGTTATGTTATGTAAAAAAATCCTGGTTTGACGGGAACCTTTGCAATGTAAATTAAGTACAGAAGTACTTTTTTTTTTAAACAACGTTGGACACAAACAGCACTCTCCTAAGTGTTATATTTGAACCATACATTTGCCTCTATTTCTTGCACAAGCAGAATTCTGCAACATATTTATAATACCTCAAAAACAAACTTGGAGAAAATTCATTTCCCTTGAAACTCATGAATCGGTGAGTTTAATTGTCAACAGGTGCTATGTTAAAGCAGTCCATTTATCATTTAGAGCTTTTTAGCTGGGAAACATCTGCCTGATTTGGATGTAAAAAGACGCTGATATCTAGGAGTGAAACAAAAACAGAGAAGTTGACGGATGTAGAACCAAAACAAAGGGCTGAAAGACGCTAACAAAGTATTCAAACACACTTGGACACAGGCAAGAAGATACTGTGTCTGGCGAAGAGAGAGTCTGGCACTTAACGCCCACTAAAAATATGTCATGTTATACTCTTGTACAGACTAAGCAAAGACAGAGCTAGGCTAGCAGTTTCCCCCTGTTTCCAGTCTTTATGCTAAGCTAAGCTATGCCAACTGTCTCCCTAAAATCAACCTTCTTATCTAAATCTCATCACATTTTGAAAAAAGAGGTCATCCAGAGTCTTACTTAACATTCACAGATGGCAACAACGTCCATAAAATCCAATTCACACTTCCTTCAGTATGGGCTCTTCCACCCACCAACAATATCACACCATAAAAAAAACATCCATTAAACTCAGAATCACTGCCATACATCTCTGAGAACTGCTCCTGCTGAAACTGTCACCAAACAAACAACAAGTCCTGAGGAATTCACAGCAAAACACACGTTGGAAATGGCCATAAAAAAAGTGGAGATTTACGACAGATATAAGCATTCAAAAAGCATTGAAGTAACAAATCTCCTCTGGCTGGAAGAGAACTCTCTGATTCTCTTTAATAACTGGAATTAAACTCCCACTGTTTTACATATATATAATATCCCGTTTTATATTTTTGTTACTGTAAATGTGTATTTCCACATGTATATTTTTTAACTTTTTAATGCTATTTTATTTCTATTTCAGAAATATTTTGGATGTTTATTTTCTAGTGTTTTAATTTATGTTATTAAGAGTCAGAATTTATTTTGAAAAAGTCAGAATCTTAAGGAAAAAGAGAGGATTTGAAAAAAACGTCTGAATTATTAGTTTTTTAGAATAAAGTCAAAAGTTTGAGACTTATATATTATTAATATTTTTAGATATTCAGAATAAGTCAGAATTTAGAGATTTCCAAAAAGTCAGATTTTTTGGGAAAAAAGTAACAATTATTTGTTTTTCAGGTAAAAGTCAACATTTTGAGAAAAAGTCAGAATTTTAAGATTTTAATAAAAAGTCAGAATTTAAAGAAAAAAGACAGATATTTAAGGAAAAAGTTAGGATTTGAAAAAAAATGTCTGAATTATTAGATTTTTAGAATAAAGTCAAAATGTTGAGAAAAAAGTCAATATTTTTAGATAGTGTCTGTAGTACACACCTGTGAGTAGGGCGTGGTAGTGAAGCCCTCTCTCTTTGTCTGAATGTGAGCACACATCGAACAGGTAAGCTTTGATGGGTCCGTCGATGAAATCTGCAGCGAAGTCGAACAGAACGACTCCGAGCATCACGATCACGATGGCCCAGGTGCTCTTCAACGACTTGTCCGTGACTAATTCTGAAAGACAGAACCAAAGCACCTCATTATTCACAACAAACTGCAGTCTGCCAGGTGTGGAAAACTAAATAATGACGACTCTAGTGCTATACTTGGAGTGTCAAAAAGAGAAATCCAACAGAGAGACACTCAGAGACATTAAAGACGGGAAATAATTGTATTTAAAAAACCTGCCTCTCTACATAATTTCCTCTGAAGAAATAAAGGATACAAGAAAACATCACAGGCACAAAACTAGATAAATGATTGATGTCAGGACGGCAGAGAGTAAACACAACGTCTGAAAAACCCATCTGTTTCCACGGCAACGCAAACAAAATAATTGAAAAAATGAAGTACACCAGCACTTGAAATGTTTTGGTTTATTTGAAGCGAATGTACTTGCTGTCCTGAATTTATGTTGAAGATGTTTTGTAAGTGGCTCTGCATGGAAGATGTATTACAATTGTTCAAATCTCATTTTACTGTAGGAAATACACTCACAGAAAATGTTGAATTGTTTCTCAAAATTCTGACTTTTTTCCAAAAAAAAATTGTTTCTCAAAATCTGACTTTTTTCCTTGAAATTATAATTCTTTGTTTTATTCAGATTTTTTTTCCCCCTAAACTTTTTTTACGGAAATTCTGATGTTTTTCTCAAAAATCACTTTTGACTCAGAATTCCGAAATGTTTCTCAAAATATATATTTATTTTATTCTGATTTCTTTCTCCCGCTAAAACATTTTCAGAACATTTTGACATTTTTTCCTAAAAATTCAGATTTTCTCACCAACATCTTTTTCGAGAAAATTCTGACTTTTTTCCTGAAATTCTGACTTTTTTCCTGAAAATTCTGAATTTTTTTTCTGAAAATTCTGACTTTTTTTCTCTGGAGTACAAACACATAGTCAAAATAAACTTCCTGTACAGAAACTCTGCAGGTGAACTAATTAAATGAACTTATTACCTAAAGAACATAGTGTTTTTGAGAATAAAAATCCCATCCCAGTGTAATTTAATTATATAATTACACGTTTAAAATAGATGTAGTATAGCAGAGAGAAGTTGTTATGAAGTTACACGGAGTGACATCTCTATAATTATGAAACAAACAGAGAAATGCTAGTTCAAATCAAAAGGGAAAACTCTACAATACTGATTATGCTACAAACAATGCAAACATTCACGACATGTGGCATTTTCTACAATCCTGAGAAACACGGAGAGATAATCAGCTTAACGAGCGTAAGAATACTTTATGCTCCGTGTGATGATTAGAGCAAATTCCAGAGCCTTTACTAAAGAAACTCAATCAACAATCACAGCATTCAACTCAGAATTAAATATATTTCAAACAAGCTGATCAGGCAAGCAGAAATAAGTATCGTGCAGCTCGTTGAATACACATTGTGTTGCCTGCTTTCTTGTTTATTTTATGCTTTAATTATAAAAGAGACCTCTCCAGAGCATGTGCCAAACACTTCACATGTTTGCAGAGTTTTGGGGATTTTAAATTGTACAAATTGTGTTTAAAACTAAGGACATTTTCTCAGTCATCTGTGTGTGCCAGCGGGCATCACATCGACCTAACAAGTCACACACTTCATCACAAGTTCAATGTGTGAGCAGAGGAGCCACACAGGACCTTTCATTTCGTTATTTTTATCAAAATGTCAGAACGAGAAGATACTGATGAAGTTTGACTGCAAGAGCTAAAAAGCAAAGCATAGAAAGCTATCTTGAGTTTTACAAGCCATAATTATCTTTCCGAGCATGAGCGGACATAAGAATAAGATTAAATGATTTATTTTTGTAATTCCAGTTTCTCTAATGGAGAGAGATGATGAATCATTCTCTGTTATTCCCTCTGAGTCACAGCCGGCGCCCAAAACAAGAGCTCATTCTCTGAATTGACAATCAGCCTCCCCCTCTCTCCGTCTGCTTTTCTGTTTCTCACCCACTTTGTATTTCTACTCCACTGCATTTATTTTATACTTGTTTACTTTTTGCACACATAAAACGATGTAGTGTATATTCTATGTATCTACAAGTATCCAAACGTTGCTGTTCACTGACGAATTACAACATAATATTGTAACATTCACTTAAAAGGGAGTATTATATATATATATATGTATATATGTATATCAGTATGTAGTGTCTCTACTTTAAAGAGTCCTCTCCTGCTGATGTTCAGGTGTATATCAGTATGTAGTGTCTCTACTTTAAAGAGTCCTCTCAAGCTGATGTTCAGGTGTATATCAGTATGTAGTGTCTCTACTTTAAAGAGTCCTCTCCTGCTGATGTTCAGGTGTATATCAGTATGTAGTGTCTCTACTTTAAAGAGTCCTCTCCTGCTAGTGTTCAGGTGTATATCAGTATGTAGTGTCTCTACTTTAAAGAGTCCTCTCCTGCTAGTGTTCAGGTGTATATCAGTATGTAGTGTCTCTACTTTAAAGAGTCCTCTCCTGCTGATGGTCAGGTGTATATCAGTATGTAGTGTCTCTACTTTAAAGAGTCCTCTCCTGCTGATGTTCAGGTGTATATCAGTATGTAGTGTCTCTACTTTAAAGAGTCCTCTCCTGCTGATGTTCAGGTGTATATCCGTATGTAGTGTCTCTACTTTAAAGAGTCCTCTCCTGCTGATGTTCAGGTGGATATCAGTATGTCGTGTCTCTACTTTAAAGAGTCCTCTCCTGCTGATGTTCAGGTGTATATCAGTCTGTAGTGTCTCTACTTTAAAGAGTCCTCTCCTGCTGATGTTCAGGTGTATATTTGTGTTTGGTGGCGTGATCATTATTATTTAGAGTCATTGCGTGCCTATTGATTTGAACACGATCCGTGTATCCATCATTTCCTGGTCTTCTCTAAAGAAGAGGGACCAATGAAAACGTTGTCATGTTGCCGTTGTTCAGCATGGAAACATTCATTAGCTAACAATGACATTATTGTTCTATTAATATAAAGGGAGGTCAGGTACTCTTTAAAACAGCTGCTAGTTATGGGTACTTTTTACTGAAGTACATTTCAAAGCCCTCTTTACTTTGACTTGAGTAAAGAAGTTTAGTCAGTACTTCTACTTTCACCAGAGTATTTGTAAACACGAGTATCTGTACTTCTACTTGAGTAAAGGATGTGTGTACTTTTGCCTTCTCTGGATCTGATTATCCTCCCTCTTGACTCACCTGAGACCACAGCGTCTCCATTGAGGAACAGAATGAGTCCCACCAGCATCAGGACCCCCAGAGCCAGGATGTACGGCCTCCGGCGGCCCCACGACGAGCGGCAGTAGTCGCTGGCGCTGCCGATGATCGGCTGCAGCAGGAAGCCCAAAATGGGGCTGATCAACCACACCAAGCTGTACAAACTCCGAGGAAGACCCACGCTCAGAAGCACCGGCGTGACGAAGGCGGCCTCCACGGCGTAACAGAACTCCCGTCCAAACATTACCGTGGCGTGGAGAATTAGGCGTCCTCTGGAGTGCCTGTGAGGCTCCACGGCTCCAAAAACACCACTTTCCCCACTTTCCATGAAGGTTTCTTTGGTGAAGTCTGTCTGTGGGTACAGGGAAGAAGTGATGTGTTTACCGGCCTCTGGGATTCTGCAGGGCTGAGAACTCACAGACTGGTCCTCTGATAACAGGGTCATGGCTGGGAGAAAAGGGGGAGAAAGAGGGGGAGAAGGGAGGAAAATGTAGGTGAAAAGAAATGGAGAATAGGGTCCACCAGGTGATGAGGAAACGTCAAATCCTTCGCTCAGTTTGAGCTAATCCGCCTCTCTTTCTACTGCATAGCTGAGCAATCAGTCCACAAGGATTTACTTCAGGTCCAAGAGCACTGAAAACCAAAAGGGAAAAGGGAGGAGAGAGAGCAGGGGGGAGTATTAAGGATTACTGAAGGGCTCTTCCCCTTTCTGAGATGTTTTCAAAGTGCTGTAGTAAAGGCCTGAGGCGGCTCATGTGAGTGTGTGAGGGATTACATGCATGTGAGTGTGTGTGTGTGTGTGTGTGTGCGTGTGTGCGTGCGTGCGTGCGTGCGTGCGTGCGTGCGTGCGTGTGTGTGTGTGTGCTGGGACTCCCAGCAGCTTCTACTGAAGCCTTCCGAGTAAATCGCCAGAACGCCGACACCTCCTCATCTCCACCGCTCCCATGTTTTATTTTGTGTTGCCATAAGTTAGTCTCTCTGCGTTGGTGCGCTGGGCGAATGCTGGTTTGCAATTCGCCCAGCCAATCAGAACTGGGGCACTTTTTCCCCCAGGAAAGTACCATCTCTCAGCGGGCACTAAAAATGGGGGGTAAAAGTTCCCGGCACTCAGTACTCTTTTTGGTGTGAACGCGACATAAGGGGTACTAACGGAACTAAACGGGAAAAGTACGGGGAAAAGTACTCCGGTGTGAAGGCGGCTAATGTGGGAAACAACTAAAAGCTAGAAAGAAGGAATGGGGGAAGGATTAAAATGTGACAGTTTTTCCTCTGAAGCTGTAAAGATAGCATCGTGCTGTGACTTCAAATTCAGCATTCAGGAAGAAGAAATCTTTTTAGGAACTCCTCACTGTGAACTTTCTTTTTCTGTCATAACAGCGTTTTCAAAGACAGAGGTCATGCTGAGGTCATGCTGAGGTCATGCTGAGGTCATGCTGAGGTCATGCTGAGGCTTTCCGTCATTCACAGAATCAGCAGACCGGCCCCTAAAAGAAAACACAAGAGCATCATTCAGACAGAGAAGCAGCATGTGAGCACTAAAGGGAAAAGAGGTCTTTCATTCTGTTGAATTTAAACTCACATTTCTGCTATTGTTCACAGACGTTATGTTCTTGCAGAGGTCGGGTCCTACTGTGCTGACTTATCACCTTCATATCCTTTTTTAGAACCACCTGAATACAAATCAGCATGACGTGATAACTCTCTTAACCACAATGCACCTGTACGGCAACAAGCAGGCACAGAAAAGACTCAAGTGACCTTTCTGCAGGGGTGTGCAGTCAGAAAACTAATTAAGTCATAATAATAATAATAACAAAAAATAATGATGAAAATAATAATGCATAAAAAAATGATAGTACATTTAATAATATCGTTTTTTCTTTAGAACTTTCTTTAGTACTTTAGAAAAATACAAAGAAACGATATAAACAGATAGCATGATGAACCAGTGGAGTAAATATAAATGATAAGCAGTATCCCCTTCAACACCACTCCCCTTTCACTATCCATTATTCATTTAAATGACATTTTATTGCAAAGAAAGGACATTTTGCTCACATTTTTATTTTACATTTAAAGGATATTTAACTCGTAATGTAGTATGTGTACATGTTGTTTTGCTATCTTTTTCTTAGGATAATAATTCCCATTCGTAGCTTAAAATCTCAGGTGAAAATATACTCCTTTTATTGAACAGCTGTATTTTCAGTGCCAGATTATTACGCAGTTATAAAACAAAGGCGCTGCTATAACTGCTAGAATCCACTTCAAGACACTGGTGCTAGCGTATCATGCTGTGAATGGATCTGGCCCTTCCTACATCCAGGACATGGTTAACCATACACCCCAGCACGTGCACTCCGCTCTGCATCAGCCAGACGGCTCACTGCACCCGCACTGCGAGGGGGGACCCGAGTTCCATCAGCAGAAGAAACACGTCGGTTTGCTATCCTGTCTCCAAAATGGTGGAATGAGCTCCCCATTGACATCAGGACAGCAGAAAGCTTACACATCTTCCAGAGCAGACTTGAAAACTCATCTCTTTCCACTTCACTTCGAGCAATAGAATTTCTAACAAAGCACTTATATACTAACAAAGGACTGGCTTATCTAAAGCCAGTTGAGTAGCACTTGAATGTTCGTGCTCTATGAAACCTGATGTACTTATATGATTCTGTTTTCTTCTAGTTTGTATCTTCTTGGTCGAATGCACTTATTGTAAGGACTCGCTTTGGATAAAAGCGTCAGCTAAATGAAATGTAATGTAATGTCTATACAATAGTCTAGCTGCAGTTTATGAACTCCACGTGGATCAGGCCATCGCTGATATAATCAAATCATATAATTTGTAGCTAAGAATATACAGTAAACAAAACTATTAACAGCCATTGATTACAGGAATGTGTTGTTAATGAATTGTTCTGGTTAAATTACGTTTAAATAAAACACATTTTTACACCAACAACCACTTTACTTTTTGATTCAGGATCGTGGTGGTCTAATGGATAGTGAGGTGGGCTGAGATCAGAAGGTTGTGAGTTCAAATCCCGCCAGGGAACACACCACCACTAGTTTTGCCCCTTGAGTAAGGCACTTAGCCCTTAGTTTACTCCATGGGAGAATGTCCCCTGTAATGTGTGCGTCACTTTTTAGTGTCCCCTGGTCTCCCAGCTGTGGGCAGTCACTTCTAGTGTCCCCGGTGGGTTCTCCCAGCTGTGTGCGTCAGTCCTTAGTTGTCCCCTGGTCTCCCCCCAGCTGTGTGTCTGTCCACTTTTTTAGTGTCCCCCTGGTCTCCCAGCTGTGTGCGTTCACTTTTTAGTGTCCCCCTGGTCTCCCGTTGTGTTTTGAGCTTCTTCAGCGTTATGTCCCTGTAATTGGTCATGATAAAGCGTCAGCTAAATGAAATGTAATGTATGATTCGGTGGGCGTGTGCACAGTGGGTTTGTGCGTTGGTTGTCAGGGGGTCACAGGTTCAAAACCCCACTGCAGTCAGCATGTCGTTGTGTCCCTGAGACACTTCACCCCAAAGTGCTCCTGTGGGATTGTCACAGTATTGAGTATGAAGTCGCTTTGGATAAAGGTTCCCTAACAAGTGACATGTAATGTAATTCTTTAGTTCTTACCTAAAGGTTGAGTCTTGTGATTTTCCTGTGACAACATCAACAATGAATTGATCTCACTAACAAGTATTGTCTTTATTCTCTCTCTCCTCTCTGTGTGTGCCATTGTCGTGCAAAAAACCTTTTCAAACACAAGTGAGTTGGTCACATGTTGAGACAGAGACATGTTCTTTCATCAAACTGAATGCAGCCTCTTGTAGTTGATCTTAAAATCTGTTCCTTAGATCCAATCCGCCTGCACTCAATACTTTATTAACCACAGCCTCACGTTTGTATTGATCCGCAGCACAAAATAGTCCCTGAAAAATGTACTTTTTACTCCTGTTTGAGTAATGTTTGCTTGAAAAACTGCAGCTGTTTACTATGGGCTCAGAAACAGTCTCATAATACACACATGCACACAGAAGGATTCACACTTGTATTTCATGATCCGCAAAGGAGTCACACTTGTATTTCCGGATCCACACTTTGTGTTTTTCAATGCACACACAAATGTGTTCCGTTTATATACATGTAAATAAAATCCAAATACAGGAATTTTTTTTTAAATATGTATTTTTGATCCTCACATATTTGTTTTCCGTTTAAAAACCGCTGCACTACCAAACACAAACCGCTTTCTGTGCATGGATCGCTGTGCATTCGTGTGTGGGTTTTTTTGAGACTCCCCTGACGGTCACCCGATTCGTACTTGTAATTTGTTCTATCTATAGCCAATCAGATGTCTCCTTCATTATAAGCCAATCACATGAGCGCGCCCCCACGAGGGTATGATTTATTGCGTTCATGACACTTCATATACGCATTTTGTGCTGTCCGGAGCAGGGTTTCCGCGGACAGGAATTTGAAACTTACCGGTCATGTTTCAATAATAATAATAAGAAGAAGAAGAATTGTGTAGCAGAGTTTCCGTTAGTAGGTAATTACCGGACTATGACCGGATATGGCTAATAACAACGGGAGTAAGGATCATCTCTTTTCCTCTCTCCCTCCCTCTCTCCTGACAGCCCGTCAGTTTCTCATGCAGCTCGCTAAAACTTTACTCGCGTTTATGTCATATCGATCAGATCCAGCTCTCCTGATCGGCCTTTATAGAGAGCACCGAATCAAACTATTAAGAGTGAATATCGGCCGATAATGACCGGCGGGGCCTCCCCCCGTTGACAGTTCACTGTCTAGCACTGGCTTCGTAGTGCAACTGATCTGAGCTAAGCTAACCTGTAGCTGCTCCCTCCACACTCACAACAACTTCATACAGACATAATAAAGCAGCTGTATTCGCCATACAGGAAACACACATTTAAAACGGTTTTTGCCTGCCGTTTTTATGTACACCAGCATTCATTAATGGTTCGGAAAGTGGCACTGTACCTTAATAATATAAAGGCTTGTATTTGCGTGCATTTCCTGCTCGGAAAGTGGCAATGTACTGAGAGTGGAAGTGTCCTGAGATTAGCGCCTGCAGGCAGGCTCCATGGACCTGTCAGCTCCGGACAGCGCAAAATGCGTACATGAAGCGCTACGTCATGAACGCAAGAAATCTACCCTCATGTGATTGGCTTAGAATTGAGGGAGACATCTGATTGGCTATAGATAGAAAAAATGACAAGTACGAATCGGGTCACATCAGGGGAGTCTCAAAAAACCCACACACGAATGCACAGCGATCCATGCACAGAAAGCGGTTTGTGTTTGCAGGTGCAGCGGTTTTAAACGGAAAACAAATATGTGAGGATCAAAATACATATGTAAAACTTTTTTCTGTATTTGGATTTTATTTTACATGTATATGAACGGAACACATTTGTGTGTGCATTGAAAAACA